TTCTGCACTAACCCTCTCGTGACCTTCGCCACGTCAGCTTCTTCTCTTACCTTCCCTATTCTTCGAACAATATGCGCATCTTCACAGTAACCCCCATTAGAGTTTCGTTTTTTTCACAAAAATGCACACACAAATTGTTGAGAATATTTTTCTCGATATAGTTTGGAATGTTCACCAAACACAGCACCGAACATATTCACGTCACAACAAGATCAAAAATACGAAAGTACTCAAGGGTCAGAACCATTCCTGAACAAGACTTACAGTTGTACTGAATCATAACTAATCACGCTATTTTGCACATTCAAATGTGCAGAACTGGCACCACAGCTCCTCTTAACTGAAAACTGCATTAACCTCCAAATCTCGGTCACTCTCATCGGTACATCAAAATGATTCAAAAAGTTAAAGACATTGCTCGAAAGTGATTGAAAAATAAAGATCCGCCATTTTCAGTGTGTTCTAGCAAATCATACGTCAGTCACTCACGAAAAAAAAAAAGATATTCATAAATAAACACGATACTTATCATCCAAGAAGCTTCACTAGAACGCGGTCGACGCTGGTAAAGTACAGGTATCACTGTTCTATCAGGCTCGTAACATCAAATCGGTCTTGTGTAAAGAAATGTTCTACCCCCTAGCCAAGGCCTTCGAGCAGCCCAACTACGGGTGTACGCCAGCACAGTGATGAAGTCCTACTCGGCATGCACTTCTTGTGACTTCTCGGAGTTAAGCCTAGCGTCGGAACACAGAATGCAAGCGGCCTCACTTTGCGTGCAACCCACTTGTCGACGAGATGTGAGTTCTTTTCGTTATACTCTTTTGTGGCGCCATCTGCTCGATTTCGCGCAGCGTCTCACTCGCTTCCTGGCGACGTATTTGGGTCCGAGTGGCTTTTCTTGACTAGCCGTTATAGGATTGTCCGAGGCGTTAACCTTCTTTTCTTTCCTTTCTTTACACCTTCCGTGCTCTAGCGAGCTCTGTCAACATTTATACGCCGCTTTCTGCGACTTCCTCCGCGCCTAGCCTTACCCTGTTCTGAGCGTATTCTGAAGCGTGGCATAAGCTTTCGTCAGGTTTGAATGCCTCTCGCCAATGGCTTGTCGGAGTCGTCAGCGGTTTCTCTCAACGCATTCGCCTCTTGCCACATCGAACGAGAGATTTTTTGCCCCTCGTTCTTAGGCTACACTTTCAGCAGTCAGAGGCGCTTCGTTTGTGGTTTGCAAAAGACTTATCCACTATACTAAGCGTTGGCATTCAGCCTCAAAATGTGTCGTTCCCGGGAACCGTTCAGCTTTTAGACCGTAGCTCTTAGGCGCTCGTTCAAGTGCTTTGCGGCGTCGCCGTCGCCGTCACCGTCGGCATGACGGTAGTCGTTGCGCTTAAGCAGTAGCTGGTTCTCCCAGTTTTTATCAGTTACAGTGTTTCAATGCTTTGATGAGAATACATCTCCGGCGACGCTGAAGTGTCGTTCTACTGACGCGATCAAAGAAACGGAGGTGTTGTGAGTCAGGAAGGGTGAATCTAGGATTCCCCTCCCTCTTTTAAAGCGCAGCCCTTTGGTGCCCGTTTCCGGCTTCAGTGGCGTCGGCGTCGCCCTCGGCGTCAGCGACGGCGTAACTGCGCGATTAATTATGGGGAACGTCGCATAATGCACCGCGCGAAACGTCACTCGCGGCGTTTCGGCACGCGCGCGGTACATTATGGGAAACCTCCCATAATGCGCCGTGCCGAAACGTCACCCGACGTTTCGGCACGGTGCGTTATGAAACGTTTCCCATAATGCACCGCGCTCGTGCCGAAATATCATCGAGACGAAAAGTCACGTGACGTTTCGGAACCGCGCCGAAACGTCGCGTGACGACGCGCGTTTTGCGCGTGAAAAAAAAAAAAAGTTGGGCAGGTACGGATGAGTGTGGGGGGCATACCTCCCCTCAGTACCCATCCCCTCCTCCTCCTCAAGAGCTGCGCTCTAAATCGGTGTTACAGGGTGCTGTAAACGTCTTTATTTTTGTTCTCTGTGCTTTTAGAGTTCCAAGTTTACATTGCTTTCTGTGCCTTCCCGCTTTGGTAACCTCCGTCCTTACGTTCGGTTTGTACAGAATTCGAGAGGGTTCATCCAACGAACCGTATTGTGCTCGCTGGGTGAAGAACATCAGCAGAGTTCGACTAACGTGTTCAGCGAATAACGCTGCTGTACGGTCATTTAACTTCGTTGCTTTTCGGATTGCCCATTTGCCTTTGTAGCAATAGACGCATACTCAGCTCAGAATTAAAACGTGGCTGTTGAAAAGCTTCTGTACACGTTACTCCTCAAAAGCAGCGCGATACCGTTTCTCGTTACTTGGCCTTCAGCAGAAACTAATTACGCTACTCGTTCAATTTCTAGAAAAGTAACTAAATACGTTTCTAGTTACAGAAAAGTAACAAGGTAAAAGTAACTCGTTATGTACATGTCTGGCCAACAGCCCTTAACCCGAGCCACCCCGAGTGCCCAACCTGCATCCGCAGCTGCGAACAACTCGTTCGTTCCGGGAAAACTCTGCGCCATCTGAAATGAAAAGGGTACGAATTCGTCGCGGGTGATTCCCTTACAGGGCTACTCCGGCGATTCTTTGAGCTACAGCCACTAACCATATTTTTCAAACCCCGGCCTTCACCCTTTCCGGTATGCTATTTGCTAGAAAATCGAGAATTCATAATAGTTATTGTGAAATCGGCAAATGAAAATGTCGCAAAAACCAACGAAAACAAACCAACAACGCGACCAAAAAAATCCAAGCGATTTTTTTTGGTCGCGCACCAGTCACATAGCTGTGGATGGAGACTTGTGTTTGTCCTTTGTCCCTCTTGTTCCCCTTCTCAAGGGATTATTTTCGTCATTCTCGCTAAGCTCGCTTCCACCTTTCCATTTCAATTGCATTGTATATACATCCGAACTATTCAATGCCGCGACGTCAGTGACAGACGGGCTTGCCAGTCGAGCAAGCAGTCTTAAAAATACTATGCTCTGCATTTTTTTTCCGTGAATGCGCGAGGGTACTAGAACGATCTTCCAAAGCAATCATTTGGCACCATGAAACTGGTTGGAATCAGTTGGGAGCAAAGTCTTCATTCCTAACAGTAAACCCTAGCCTTCCGCTCGCGTAATGTTTTTTTTTTGTTTTTTTTTTTTTGTCGCCGATACAGTCTTAATTTGAAAAACACGCTGAGGACCAAAATTGCAAAATCAATAGCATCGAGAATTTTTTTTTTTACCTAGTATTTAGGATATTATTTTAACGATGTTTGTTGGTGTGTTGAGCAAACTCTTTGGGCAAATCGGGGACAATAAAAAAATCGCCAGGGTACCCTTTTAAGCGTTGAACAGAAGTTCAATCAGGCGTAGCGGAGGACCAAGTGCAAAAACATCAGCTTACTTTTAAATCCGAGCACGCCAAACGGTCAGGCGAAGTTTACACAGTTCCATTGTCCGGTTTGTCGATGCGCACATACACACCCACACCCTCACAAATCATTCATAGAACTAAACTGTCTGGCCGTAGCAGAACCATAAACATTAAGGGCGAAGCGTCATAAAAAATTGCAGCACTTTTTTGCTTTCCTCTGACCGTCGCCGTGAACAAAGTGAGTGGCAAGATAGCGTTGACTGGTGCATGCTGCTGACTTAGAGGTAGATTTCACGTTTCGCAGAGCTTGGCTGCGCTTCTTGCTGACAAAGGCTGTCGACAACAAGGTGACATGCTGTGGGGCTCTCTTGTGTTATGGTGCGTTTACACTTGCGAATTCACGGGAGGGTTTCGCGCCAGCGACGAGCACAATTGGGAGCCTAGAGGCGAAGTCCGCTCATCACTGGCGGAGAATCTGGATCGGTTCGAATCCAATATGTCTGCTAGTCGAAGCGTTTCTCCTGACACAAGCCAATCGGCGTTTGCCGGAAGGGTTGTTGCGCGGTACCTCCTTCCAGCTTTTCCTGTTTGGTTATAGCAATGGCGTAGCTCAAGGCCCAGTAACCATTCACCTGCCAGGACGAGAAATGAGGCAGCATGACCCATGGACGAATCACCGCCGCAAATGGCACCGCTGCTTTAGTGTATCCGGTATCTCCTGCTACACAGCGTGTAGGACGCACAGGGAATAAATAGTCGTAATTTTTCAAGAGCGTGATCGCATAGCTAACATAATCGCCCATGTCCATGTTTCAATAACCGTCGCCTCGTTGAGAAACGTCTGCTGAAGGAATAAAACGTACAGTGCTAATCACACTTGTCTATAACGCGCGAGCGTGCCGCTTTCTCCGGGGAGCGCTAGACTGGTGGCATTCGCGGAAACTAAGCTAGTCACGTGGCGCAACATGGAACGGCCCGCTCGAGGGGTGTCCTGCCCATTCTATCAGCTTGATAAGCCATAAAAGTAAAGTGCTTTATGACATATTTTTGTTTTTTGATGACGACATCGTTGATACGCCTTCATGCTTTAGTTTGTTTATTGTTCGAGCAATGATGTTTGTAAAAAGCGTGCGAGCAGCCTTCCGCGTTCGCCGCCAGCTGATAGAGTGCGTAGGACACCCCTCGAGCGGGCCGTTTCATGTTGCACCACGTGACTAGCTTAGTTTCTGCGAATGCCACCAGTCTAGCGCTCTCTGGAAAAAGCCGCACGCTCGCGCGTTATAGACAAGTGTGATTAGCACTGTACCTATCTTACGACGAAAGGAGTGGACACGGCAACCCAGCCGTGATGATGTCGCCTAATGTACCACTACTCATGCAGGTTTGCACTTGGTGCCTACTCATCGCTTCGGGCCAAACGTCGTCTTCATCGCCTATCGGATATCGCGCTGACATCGCTCATCTGCAGTTGCTACACGTGGCCAACATCTACAGCGCACCCTTCACGGGCACGATGACGTCAGAAGAACTTCAAGAAGCAGCGCCACCACTGCCTATAAAGGAAACGCAAGCGGCTGCGGGCGTCAGTGGACACGGCAACCCAGCCGTGATGATGTCGCCTAATGTACCACTACTCATGCAGGTTTGCACTTGGTGCCTACTCATCGCTTCGGGCCAAACGTCGTCTTCATCGCCTATCGGATATCGCGCTGACATCGCTCATCTGCAGTTGCTACACGTGGCCAACATCTACAGCGCACCCTTCACGGGCACGATGACGTCAGAAGAACTTCAAGAAGCAGCGCCACCACTGCCTATAAAGGAAACGCAAGCGGCTGCGGGCGTCAGTGGACACGGCAACCCAGCCGTGATGATGTCGCCTAATGTACCACTACTCATGCAGGTTGGTGATAGAAAACATGTTTTTCACAGCGATTACCTCTGTTTGATTGTGTTGCCGTGTCCACACACAATTGCAGCTTGTGTACGCGATTGTTTCTCTGTAGCAGGCCTGTTGCTCATACTAGCTGGAGATGTGGAGGAAAACCCTGGGCCTATTACGCAAGAAATGTTTAATGATATGATTCGGACACAAAAGGAGATCCTTGCTAAAATTACTGAGGTACAAGTAAAACAGACTTCTTCGGAAGAAAGTATGCTACAAATGCAAAACAGGCTACTTGCGATAGAAAAAAAACTTGAGAGCGTAGGTGAAACTGAGAACAGGCTTGCTAAACTTGAAAACTCTGTTAGTGGCTACGATGTCGAAATAAATACTCTTGTAAAACAAATTGATGACTTAGAAAATCGTTCACGACGAAATAACGTTATCGTAAGGGGAATTAAGGAAGAGTCTTCTGAAAACGAGGATGTACTAATGAGGAAAATCAACAATGAGGTGTTTGACGCTATACTAGGTCAAAAACTGAACTCTATCCAACGTATACATCGACTTGGAAAAAAGATGACTGGTAGAGATCGCCCTGTAATACTTACAGTTGGGGATTTTAAAGAGAAAATGGCTATCATGAAAAACAGTGTCAAACTTAAAGGTACCCAAATTAGCATCAATGAAGACTATTCCAAGAGGGTTGTTGAGCTTCGAAAGAACCTGTGGAATTCAACCGCAGAGCAGAGGAAAAACGGTGCCAAAGTCAATCTAGTCTTTGATAAGCTGTGGCTTAACAATGTTCTGTACGCCTGGAATGAAGTCAGCAATGAGAGATACAAGTGTCGCGTGCCACCGGAAGCAAATAACGAGTGACTAAAACAAAATGATTCAGCATGTTTTAAAATATTAAACATAAACGCCAGAAGTATTGCAAACAAGGTTGACGCGTTCGAAAGCATAATGCTAGAGCACGATCCTGAAGTGGCCGTAATTACCGAGACATGGCTTCATGAAAATATCTTAAACTCCGAAGTTACTCCACCGAATTATTCAATAATAAGAAAAGATAGAGAGGGAAGGGGAGGCGGAGTTGCTATTATGATTAAAAATAACATCAAATTTGAAGTCCTTGAGGAAGTACGGGATGTAGAAGCATTATGGATCAAGACAAAATTGAATAACCGTACAGTTTATATTGGTGGCGTGTACAGAGCCCCGAATTCGCCAGTTGAAATGCTGTTAAAACTAAGGGGCTACATGGATTCCAATTTACGTTACGGAGACAACATTTTGTTACTGGGAGATCTTAATTTACCTGGGATTGACTGGTCATCATATTCTCATGGAACGGCGGAAGTAGCTAGTTGCGATCAATTATTAGAACTTGTATTTTGCTATAACTTATCCCAGGTGGTAACAGATTACACTAGAGTATGTTCAACAACGTCAACAATTTTAGATCTAGTTTTTGTTTCCGAGAGTTTAAAACCATATTTTTCGAAATGTGAAACCGAAGAAGGCCTATCCGATCATAGGATGGTACTCGTCTCATTGAATGTTACCCCAGAAAAATCGCACAGTCATTCAAGAAAGATGTTTTTGGATTTTAGAAGTGCTGATGATGTAAGCGTACTTGATTGCCTTGAACAATCGTTTGATGATTTTATGTTTCTTTACCAATCAGATGCTAGCCCAGACACGTTATGGGACTATTTTTCAAGCATGACGTTACGGTGTATTGAGCGATTTATACCAAAGCGCCCTAAAAAAATCGCGAACAAAAATCCTTGGATTACAAGGGAAATAATCCACGCAAAACGACAACTGAAGCGGAGACGAGCGAGTTCACATGGTACAGGTGTAGAAAAAAAAACTTGCATTCAGCGATTGAGTCGGGAGCTGAGGCGTCTAGTTAGAGAGTCTAAAGAAAGGTTTTATAGTATAACACTTAAAAAATTCCTTAGCGAGGCACCTGAGAAGTTCTGGCGGTACGTCAACCCTTCGGCTAAGTTCCAGCAGCATGCCTCTGACCCAAAAAATGAAAAGCAGAGTGTTGAAAATTTTAGCACCTTTTTTTCATCCGTTTTCACCAACGATGATGGAAATTTGCCAAGCTTTAGTGATTATTCCCACAATCCTCCCATCAATAACTTAGATATAAGTGAGCAAGGAGTTTTTAACCTTCTACTTAACATCGACTCAAAAAAGAGCCCAGGTCCAGACGAAATTCCGAATGAATTTTTAAAAAGGTATGCTGAGTGGGTTTCTAAATACCTTACTATCATCTTTAGATTGTCTATGAGTAGCGGTTCTTTTCCCAGCGCTTGGAAAATAGCAAAAATTATTCCCATCCACAAGAGCGGTAGTGTTAATGACGTCTGTAACTTTCGCCCCATTTCCCTTACTAGTACATGCTCAAAGCTCCTTGAACATATCATATCTAAACATCTACTGGCTTACCTTGAAAAATATGACATATTATTTAAATCGCAGCATGGTTTCCGCAGAGGTCTTTCCACGACTACCCAGCTCATAGAAACTGTTCATGATTTCTCTCAAAGGATAAACTGTCGTGGTCAAACTGATGTAATATTCCTAGATTTCGCAAAGGCGTTCGACAAAGTATCTCACCCCAAATTGCTATTGAAAATCAGTGCTGTTTTTAAGAATCCAGCCATCACGAAGTGGTTTTCCTCTTATCTTTCATCACGGAAACAGTACGTTAAAGTTGGGGGTAGCAAATCCACTATGTCCCCAGTTGTTTCAGGCGTACCCCAGGGCAGTGTCTTGGGTCCTCTTTTATTTTTGATTTACATTAACGATCTGCGCAATGACATCTCGGTTCCAATCAGACTATTCGCCGACGACTGTGTGATTTACAATAAAATTGAAACATCGGCTGATCAAGTCGAATTAAACTGTAACTTAGAAAAAATTAAAAAGTGGTGTCAAAATTGGCAAATGGTGCTAAATCCTGAAAAATCTGTCTTCATGTCTATTACGAGAAAAATAAATGTTTTGGCTTATAATTATTGCATTGCGGGTGCTGAGTTGGAGAGAGTTAAAGAACATAAATACTTAGGCTTAATATTTACTCCTGATCTAAAATGGAACACTCACATTGATAACGTATGCATCAAAGCTAATAAAGCACTGTGGTGCCTTCGACGAAACCTCGCTATTGCAACTCCTGAAATAAAAAGTCTAGCTTATAAGACACTGGTAAGACCCGTCATCGAGTATTCTAAAATTGTATGGGACCCATATACCGTCACAAATTGCAATAAGCTGGAGAAAATCCAGCGACTCGCATCCAGGTTTATTTTTAATAAATACAGCCACGTTCATTCCCCCACAAAATTATGTGAACTTGCCAATCTTCCTACATTTGAATCAAGAACGAAGTATGAAAGGTTAAATTTTCTTTTTCAGATTATTCATAATTGCGTAAAAATAAGGAAATCCGAGTACTTTGAAATTTCCTCCACCGAATCCTCAAGACATCGTCATAGCATGTACATTCCTAATCCATCTGTTAAAAACGATTGCTTTAAGTACAGTTTTTTTCCGAGGGCTATTAAAGATTGGAATATATTACCTGATTCTGCTGTGTCATCTATGTCGCTAAATGAATTTCTGGACCGTGTCAGTGATATTATTGTATGTGCTACAAACTAAAACCACTACAGCTTGTGTAAAGAAATGTTTCACAACTACGAAGTGATATTCGTTTCGTAAACTGCCGAAATGACGAAGCCTCTCAATATGTCTGTAACCTTTGTGTATGCTTGCGTGTAAGCGTACATGTTTGTTTGTTATTGTCCTTTTTTTTCTCCACCCCTGTAATAGCCCTGTGCAAGGGCTGACAGTATCAATAAATGAATGAATGAATGAATGAATTCGCGTGGCGTTCATTTAAATTGTAGATAAAAAAGAACAGCTTTTTTGTGGTTGTGGTTCACGCTGATTTTGTAGTAAAACCGGGGCTAAGTCGTAGGAGCGAAGTTTGTTGCTCCTATTGATCGGGAATTCATGGATATCCGCCCCTCGAGGGGGAAATAGGATCGCTCCATAGGAGCACGGCGCTGTCTTTCCGCTGGCGCCCCAACGTTGTTCCAGTGGCAAACCAACGCGAGTGTCATCAGAAGTGTCCAAAACCAAAGCCGAAGGACAATGGACATTCCGAGTACACTGGCGACACTCAAAAACAATCCCAACTTATTTTTTGTTTGTCTGTGTCTTTGTGCTTTTATTGCACAAAACCGAAACCTCCACATCTCTCTATTCCTCGGCTTCATGGACGCTTGTTTCGCCTCTGCGTCACGCAGACCCGAAGAGTGCTTACTTTTGGCTGGTACAATTCCCTCCTTTTGTTGACAGTACCCTTCCTTTGCTGAAGATACGCTTAGCAGCTCATTACCAACCACGCGTTGGAGACTGGGCAAGAAACCATTTTAACCCTCCTCGCCAGCACCCAGGCTCAGACTGCCGACTATCGATTTCTCCATGTCGCTTTTGCTGGGGCTTTTTTCTTTTCACACCTGTTACTATACTTCACCTAAAGCTTTATTCCAGAAGGATGCGTTGTCTTCTTTACGCAGAACCAACATACCAACTTTTTTGACAGAAAAAAGAAATTACCGAAAAAACGTTATATCGAATGTGGTGCTTCCCCCAAATGAAGGGGGTGACTCAGATAAACTCGTAGTAACAATAATATAGCGAAGATTAACCCAGAAAGGGGAATAACCCATCATTTTCCCTTCATTACAAAAAAGTTTGTTTTTTATCTACTTCCATAGTCTTCAATCCAGATCATTCCCGAGAGAGTTTACAAAGGAATCTCCTCTCTTTCTCCTCAGAATTTTCTTCTCGTCTCTCTCACAGATTTACGTATTCATCCTTCACCTTGCGCTGTCTTAATCTACGCGTAAGAGATCCCCGGCGACGCAAGCGTCACGCTATCGGCTCCTTAGCTCTTCAGAAACATTGCTAGACCTATCACTGACTCTCGAGGCCCCTTTCTTTAGCCCCTTCCACTTCATTATCTTTGTTCCTTTACTTCCTTGATTAGGTCTTTGTCTCTTATTGCTTTCTTTACATGTTTCCAACATTAACGGGCGCTGTCTTTCGAGAGCCAATCTCTTTCGTCTTCGTCACTGTCAGCGACTTGAGCAGCCTGTCTGCTTCCCCTGCAAAACAAAGACCTAAGGCAGGCAGGCCCGGGCAAAGATGCCAAAACTCTATATAACGGGCGCTTTCCGGTTAACATCAGAAGAATAAGATGTACTTGACAGTAATATATCACGGTTGGATGAGTTTTTCGCTTAATAAGGAAGCGGCGGGACCTGTCAGATTCCGCTCGAATAACTAACATGGCATATTTCTGACGAGTGCGTGTTGGTGTAATACCACCTAGACTATGACGTAACGCTTGCACGTTAAAGTCATTCATTGTCAGTGAATTCTCACCCTGATCTAAGCAGAAAACCCAATTTATTTTATAAAGTGACGTTGCCTAGCGACATCTATTGGCGTCACATCGCACTTACATTGCACTCGATGTGTGATTTTTAAATCGGGTTGGGAATGCGTTCACGGTAAGGACGACGCAAGGTTGAAGTGATAAAGCAAAAAACACTATTCGTTGACTTCATCATTTTATTTCACTTTTTAAGTGCATCACGAAAGAAACTGGCGAACACCCCGTACTCTGACTAACATATCTCCATTTCAAAATACATTTTTTTTTTTTTTTTTTTTGTAATTTAGTTTGACTGAAATAAGCAGTTTCCAGGCCCGATATTGGCAGATCAAACAATTTAAATCGACTTCCGGTGGAAGTTCGAAAGGGGAATCGTTTCGGATATAACATCTATTCGAGGCCGCAGTGGGGGTCAAATATATAAATGTCTTGCTCTTAGATCAAATAAATAGAAATAATATATTATTGTCGCAAGCTTCTGCTTTGGCAATATCATCTGAATTGCCATACCGTATAGCGACATATTAAGTTCTTTCTGCGGTTGTGGGAGTGAGATGCCGCACTGCTATATCTCCCGGTTGCTCGTTGCCGTTTTGAATCTGATCGAGAGTATTTTTCGTCAGGATGTAGACGTAAACAAGTTCGATTGCTTCCCTAATTATGACATATTTCTTTTCTTTTTAAATATTTTGTCGGTTTTTTTTTTCTTGAGATATATATTGGACTTCGATGTTTTACCTAAAGAATCAAGATATTTACCTGGAAACGGCGCCTCGCCAAGGCAGGCCGAGAGCGCCGAGTTCGACGTGTCGAAAGGACCAAAGGATCCTTAAATACTATCCCGTTACATCTCCATTATCAACACACAAAAAAAAGGTTTTCTTTTTTAAATGTTTAGATAACCTGTTTTCGTTTGCCTTTCTTGGCATGTGGATAAACCTTACCGATTTCCATTGAGGCCACCGGGGCCGTGCACGCTGGCACGACGGACGCGGTCCGCGCATGAAGTACACCACGTCGATGTCCAATCCTGGGAACATGGTTCGGGCGAGCAGCGCCCACGACCAAAACCACGCTGCACCTAAACTGATGGGGATTTCGAGGCCGGGGTCTAACCTGCAATGATTGGACGATCCGGTTCTTTTGTCGGAATAGCCGCTGTCCACAATCTTTAATTATGAAAGTGGTTCCCTTCAGAGGGATGCATGCACCGTACATCGAATGCGCCACAGGGGGCGCGTATAAAATCCCCCTAACGTGTGGAAAATCTTACGTTGAACAAACGGATAGATGCACGAGTGACCGTGTAACAAAGCACGCACAAAATTTAAAGACAAATGACGGGGCATATTTGGCCGCGCACTGCAGGGCCTGAAAATGTGAGCCACGTTTCGGCAAAACCAAGATTATCGGTAGAAGCAGAATTCAAAGAACACGCGAACTGCAAGAGGCATATTATTTAAAAAGAGGGGACCCCAGTGCGTGAGCGACACGTCAATAGCATTGTATAATGCTGAGATTCGTT